TCGTGTTCAACCGCCACACAGCCAGACGGTATCAGTTCCTATCTGCATTCCATTCCCTGCTTCTCATTGGCTCTACGTTCCGCCGCCGTGTGCTGTTTCTTCAGTTCCATATGATATTTCTGTAGAGGAAAGTGCTCCACGTTTTGTGTTGTTTGGCAGAATCTCTTCATGCTGCTGTTTGGCAGAATTTCGCAGCTGCGAAATTCCTCAAGTCCGACCATCGGGGTCAGGCGGCCCACTCGGCTCATCTTGCGCATTCAAAAAGCTTATAAAAGGGGGCATTTGTGATCTTAGTTGGGTTCTCTTACTTTTCGTTTCTTACTTTTCCCTTACTATTCGATTACTTTTCCCTTACTAGTTTCCCTTACTTTTCCCTTACTTGTCCTTTTATATCCTTCCATTGATTTCTTAGAGCCTGTTAAAATGATTTCTTGTGTTCTGTATCTCTTTTCAATGATCGGGATAACAAGTATTCGCGCTTGCAACATGCACTGATCGCTTTTCCTGTTCAAATGGAGCACTACGGAGGGAGAAATTCAGAGCATGCATCATGCATACACCACGAAGTAGTCGATTTCGTTATTGCGCTTGACACAAAACTAAGTTTATCTCTGCTCTACATCCTTTTGGAATCAGATGTTTCCAAAAACTAAGTGTATAGCTACATGACCTTACTAAATGCCTATAAGGGTAACGGTGGTTTATACCTCCAAGCCTGAAAAACTGCAGCACAATATCTTCTTGGTATATTTAGAACTGCCACGATCTGCATCTCAGCGTGCCTAGACGTTCCTAATCCGTTGCCCCTCCCAAACTGCAAAAACTAGCTGTGTAGAAATCTGTAAGAGACCGCAGCTACAGAATCCTCTAGTAAATAATCCGCACAAACAAATAGACGAAGTAAAAATTTGTAACTGAACCAAAACAGCCTCCCCAAAATCCAAAAAAGGGATAGCATCCCATCCTTATCTGAATTTAGTTTACTCAATATGTAGGAATGCAATTTTTTGGATGAAGGCTCATGACTTCTCATGCAAAAAAAAAGCAGAAGGTTTCATCTTTTTGCTCAAAAAGTTGGTTAGAACACTCATGGAAATGTTAGTAACGCATGCCACACAGGCTTTACCATCAACTGGTTGTCCATAAGGCCCGACTGTTGCTGAAAAAAACATTTTGCGTTGCAACTCAAACGTACATTTGCGCAAAGGGAAGTGAATGCCAGAGAGAGTGTACTTATGACGCACTCAGGATCAGTGCTCGAAAATTCACGGACTGCAGTGTAGGGTAGGGTTGCCTAGTGCTTGTAGAGTCATATAAATGCAAGATCGACAACTCACCTTGAGATCCAAGCATTGTGGCCTTCACTGTAGAAAGTATTTTCAGTTGCGTTGCAATCGTTGGGATGCGCTCACACACTTGCAATAGGGTCTGGAAATGAGCCATCATAAAGTGAAGAACAGTACTTGATCAGCTGCCTTGCACCACCAATGCATGTGACAGTCTTTCATTCGTGTCTCTTGCGGATGGTAGAGAGAGCTAGGAATTCTGGCATCTGTTTTGTTCGGAAGAAAAAGTCATTTCCGGACATATATCTTCAAGATGAATGCAACTGGCTGCAAAGCTTTTAGCAAGTGGTGAAAAAATCTCTGAACTGAGATAAGCACAGCGCACCTGTTTACGGTGGAAAATTTCTGAAAAATAAACATTCTGTTAAACACGTCCCGGACTAAGCAACATTACCAACCATTCGCATTTTGATGTCGGTACATTGTCGTGCAAGCTGTACGGCAAGTCGAGTCACTTCTTCGCTGGAATCGGCGATTGCCTTGGCACAATCAATGAGATCCTTCTTTGTTCCACCTTCGCCTCGCACCAGTTGACTGAGTCGGGCCATCAAAATTGCCATACGTTTTGCGGCAGCGACAATGTCATTCTCATGACTGGACCACTGGCGCAACTCCTGATGTAAATTACGCGCCGCACTCAGAATCGGCTGATTGGATATCCCGGGCAATGGATAGCGTTCCCAGAATGCTCGTGTCTCCTCCTCATCGTCCGTTTCCGGCGGAGGAGGTGGACGAGGTGGCGGGCTGATTTCCACTGGCGGCGGTGGTCTTGGTGGCGCCGGTAAATCCTCTCTCACATAGATTCGATCGTGCACCACAGGGCTTGTTGGAGGCTTCGGTGGCACCGATTCAACCAGAAGCATCTGACTGGGCGGGCGCGAGCCACCGGCGCCTGTGATGGCATCACCCACTTGTCGTACGGCCGACAACAAATGATCGTTTGCATCGCGCCAGTTCTGCGCGTTAGCACTGTGGCGAGGGTTAAGCGCCACCTGTTTCGCCTGGTTCACCATCGGCGGGATCGCTGAAAACAGAATGCTGAATTTAGCATAAAGATGCCAGTTCTGCTTTAAGTGATGGTCAAAAAAAGAACAAGCAGACAGCAGCAAGGATGAGGAGGAATTGGCTAAAATGCCGCACGAAATAATCTGTTTGCCTGCCGCTTATCCAAAATTACTACCAGTCTTTGTACCGGTCACTTAGATGACTGCTTTTTTTTATTCTTTCCACTGTATCTAGGGGATAACAATGGATGGATAAACCCCATCAGAGCTTGCTCTATTTCCCACTTATAACTCCGTCGAGGTCGAAAATTGGACTCTGTCATACACATGTTTATCAAAAAGTCAAAATCCTCCCCATACTCGGTC